CTGCGGTGGGCTTGTCTGAGCGCCCAGGCGCACTCGTGTGGAAATTATAAAGGCAGGGCCAGGCAGGCGGGCGGCCAATCGCCACCGGGCTCGTCACGACAGCCTCCTCCAGCTCCAGCCCGGCTAATTAATCCCCCTCGTGGACCCGGGCGCGCACACTGAAGGTAGGAGGCTGCTCCGGCGCGGGACCGCCCAGGCCAGCGCGACAGCCTGCAGACCGCGGGACTCCTCGAACACGTTGCCTCGGAAGACCTGGCCAAGCCACTCTGCTGCGCTGGCCCCCTGCTTGTCTTTTTACCGCTGAAACGCAGACACAGGTGTATGGGTGGCCATCCGTCCATTAGCGAACTAGATGGGGCTTCCTAAAACCGAATCACTAAGTTGCATTGAGAGGAAGGTAATGAGTGTCCGTTCATCCTGGGGGTCTGTTTAACTGCAGGTTGAAAGTTCGCTCCTTCTTGCGCTATTGGCGTCCCGAAGATGGAGTGATACCTGTATAATTCGCTCATTCCGCATGTTCCTGTACGTTAGAGTGATTATTTTAAGCTTTATGCAGGTAGTGTGCGCTGTTTCTTTCTTTTCTTTTTTTCCTCCTTTGCACCCGTTGAAAGCAGTCTGAAAAGTATTGCTGAATGTGTTCGATGTTGTCCACCCCAGTTGAAGTTAAGAGGTTTAAAAAGTGTTTGCCACGTCCCTCCCTGCCTTCCTCTCAGTCCTCTTTGCACTGTGGTAGACTTGCCCAGCACGACAAGCAGGACACCAAACTCTGCGTGCACTTGTAGAAATATCTGAAAAATAAATCGTCTCTGGAATGGAGAGATTATTTTCGTTTGACTCCATAGTGAGCTGTGTTTTAATACAAAAAAATTTGAGTGAGATCATAGAGACCAGACCTATTCTGTCCTGAAAATTTGAAGGTTTGAGGTTTCTGGATTGCTTACAGATATACAACTCCTGTCCTAAGTGTCTTAAGTGGTGACCTGACAATAGACTTCTGATTTTATGCTAGTTCATGTCGATTTGATGAAGAGGAAAATGGTTAATATTTTCAAAGATAATTATTTTTTTGGCAGGCATTCGGTTTATTTTTTGGATGTAAACATCATTTTGGGAAAAAATGAAAGAAATCATTTTATTTCTAAATTTTGGAACCTCGAAACAAGAGGGGGAAATGGGCATGTGTAGAACTTTTTTTTTTTTTTTTTTCCTGGTGGTACCAGTTGTGTCCTCAAAGTACAAGAAACTAAAGAAATACTACTTAGGGATTATGTCATGGGTTTTAAACCTAGGCGGATTTTTAATTGTTGACCTTTAATTTAGATGACATCTCTCTCAAACTAAGAAAAATTCAAGGGAAATCCTATAACTCCGGGTAACAAGCTTGTGAGCACTTTGTTCCAGAGCCACTTTTAACACTTTTAACATGTTCAGAGCTCCCACTTTTTACTCAAGCTTTTGAGGACGATTATTATTATTATTATTATCATTATCATTATTATTATTATTATTATTACTAGTATTATTTGCACAGCTACAGCATCACAAAGCCACCTTCTATTTACTTTCTCATTATCCAAGAGTGATAGATTCCAATTAGCGTAAAATAGCACATTACATTTGGGGCGCTGGGCGCTGATCTCTTCTGTTCCCCAGAACCTTCCATTCCCATAGGAGCAGGGACTGGGAACACCCAAAGGCCCCTCCCCGCCTTGCCAGCGTCGCGGGTGAACGCACTGCTACCTTTTGGCAGCTGGAAGAGGAGGGAGCCGGGGGACCTGTGCCCGAAAAGGCCACGCTGCGCACTGGTCCCTGGGGGCGCGGTTCCCGGTGCCCCGCTCTGCGCGCCATCCCGCCCCGCGCCGCCTGTCCCCTCGCGGCTGGCGGCCCCGTGGGCTTGATCTCGGCGCGCGGGTGGCTGGAAAACTTCACGTGGTGCCCCGGCTGACCCGCGCCCATCCCGGGCCACGCGCCACGTGGCCCCAGCCGGGCCCCCGGGCCGAGTCCTGGCCTCCAGCCTGCAGACACCGCCGGCCGTCAGGCACGGGGCGGCCGGGGACGCCGAGGCCCCGGGGCGCTTCGGGGACCGTGGCGCGGCCGCGCAGGGGTCCCGGGGCAGGGCGCGGGCTGCGAGGGCAGGAGCCAGGCGCGCAGGTGGCGCGTCTTAGGGGCTCGCTGTGCGGCTTCATCGGCCGAAAGGGAAGCTGAGCTCCCCAGCGCTCCGTGCAGCCTCCCTGGTGCCTCCAGGGCCTTTCAAAAGCTGGCGATCTGCACTTCGCGAGAGAAAAACGCTTGGGAGAACGGACTCAGAGGCTCGTGGGCCCTCGAGGGTTCCGGGGAAGCGAAGTCGCGGGGTTTTGGGACGCTGGGACTGTGCACTCTCCGAGCTGTCTCCCAAGCCGGGTCACGCGCCAGCTGAAAGTGATTTACATAACAGCGGAGTCCCCCTTGGCGGGTCCGCGGTGGGCAAAGAACCGCCGCCCTGGAATCCTCTGGTGCCCGCGCTGCTCGATGCTGCAACGCGGCGCTGGTCTATTACCCTGCACATGTGAAATGAATTGCCTTCTCCAGCTGGGTCCCTTCGGTGGTCTCAGACACCCCTCACCGTTGAGGAGCACGTTCTACTATTCTGAGTGATTTCCACCCCTTGGCTTTTTTTCATAGCAGTGACCCTACGGAGGGGAGTGACAAAGCATACTATATTTTGTCAGTCGATTTTAATCTAGGTCATTTGGAGGTGGGTTTGTTTTGTGAGCAACTTATTTAACTACTTTGTAGTAACATATTTGAGATATTATTTGACCCATTGAACTCGTTATTTCAAATGATTATGCGATACAGAGAGATGATTTGACATTTATTTTTATATGAAGAGTTTATAAGAGAACTCTAGTGATACTAGTCTTACTTTTTTACTTTAAATATCTTAGTAGCTAGTACTAGAATAAAACCTTTTGTGTGTCCAGTGAGTTGAGTATAAATGCTTAATTGTTTTCGGTGGTATCCATGCAGGCATCTTTGACAGGAGCTAATAATAGAATGATAATTGAAGAAAACTGGCCTAATTGAAGGAAAAAGCACCCCAAGAATCTCATGATGTAATGATAGTTTGAGATGCTTACATTGAGTGATATTTAGAATTTTAAGGTCTAACTGACTTTTGCATTTCATTTACTTAGTTTATGGGGCAGCTTTGATTTAAAATGTACCCGGTGGGAGGGGAAAAAATCCAATTAAAGACACAGCACACCCTTATAATAAATGTTCGTACGAATGAATATAAAATAACTAAAATTGTGATCCTTAATATTTTGAAACATTCCAAATAATAATGGTAAGACAACTTTTCCTGAAATACTGTTTCCTAAAAAACTTGCTTACACTTCTGTAGATGTGCTTATTTACATGGGGTACACAAACATTACGTAAAGAATCTCCTTATTAAGTTTAAAGAAAAACTCTATTACGTTGAGAAATGTAAGAATGCAAGGTTTCTATGTTTGTTTGTTTTTTTAACTCATTTAACTTCGATTTGCATGTTCATAAATTTCAGCAACTGTAACCCTTCATCTGGAAAAAGGTATCTGGTAGAGGATATATGTGCACACACATGTTAAGTGCTCACATAGTTACTGTTTTGTGTTTTTTCATTATCTGCTGGCTGCTCATCTATTCACAAGTATTCATGAATTTAAAGTTTTATTTTTTTAATATGTGCTTATTACACTGGGGAGATAAAAAGAATATGAAGTTGAGTTTATTACATTATTTATCCCTACTGCTGGAGTGGCTTTGAAGGCTCATTGTGCGCATCTGATTTCTTTCCTCTCTTTTTTTAAAATGCACCCAGGCTGTTTCAACTGTTTCATTCTGCCAGACACAATATATTTCTTTTTTTACACTAGAGAAATTAAAGACAGATATTTGTGCAGGGCTTTCTTTATATGTCACATTAAATAAAGTAAAGTAGAGGGAGTTTTTCTGGTAATCTAATTTGATGGCATCTATACCTTTCTTCCTGTTTTGACTTCTGGTATAAGAGCACATGAAACAAAATAGCTTGAAAGCTTCAAAAGTCTCAGTGATTTCCTAAAATAATTATTTCGTGTCTTCATATCAGGTTTATTACAAAATCAAGCAGAGGAGAGGTCACCGTTTGCACAGTTTAGAAGCTGTTCTATTTCTTAAACTAGGGCATCCTGAGAATTGCGGCTAATTTTTAAAAATTATTTATTCTTCACTTGAATGATCAAGGCCTTTGCCTTAGTTGTTTTTGCAGTCACCCTAGTACTTGATCTTATAGTCACATTTATAGTCCTGAGTACTTTTTTCCCATAGTATTGCTTAGTAAACTTGATATTAGTATTAACGGGTGTTTTGAAAGGAAAAGTAATCTTGAGATTATAGAAAGAAATTGGAAATATACCTCGTGAGAATTACCACCACTGCTTGCTTTGTAGATTTAAAGTAGTTCTGGATAACTCCAGCCAAAACCTTTCTTTTGGTAAAGGAAAAAAAGAAAAAGAAATGTAATACCTGGATTATTTACATAATTGTCTCAGTTTCTTCACCTCATTTGTATGTGTACAAGGAAGTGTAGGGTATGTTAAGTTGCATCTGTAAA